ATCATCACCGGGCTCTACATAGAATTGTATGTACGTAATGATCCAGAACAGCTGACCATGATCTGTAACGACAATGGCTGCTATGTAAGTATTGGAATATAAGAAATGAGAAGTGGGTCAATCATTTTCAATGGTCAGCCAATCTCAGTGGTGGCGCAAAGTGAACAGCTGAATTGTGGCCAACCGTACCTCCATTTTAATGCTCCTCTGGAATCTTGCGTCTATGGAGCTTCCACAGTGCTACTGCATATGAAGTCACAACCTCGGACAGTCGTCCCCCCATTGGGTCAGTTTGCGGCTGTGGCCGCCACTGGCCAATCGTCAACTTGACATCTCGACAAAAACAAAATATAAAACTTCTACAAATAAGTGCATACTGCCACAAAAAAGGATTTGTAAATCAAAATTACCAATGTACACAAGTATTTTGCTATTAACTTTGTTTGTATTTGTAGGACACAACAAGTAATCAACAATTTGTAAATTACTTTGGTCCCTCGGGAAATCTGAATTTTACAGTGACCACCAACTCAAACAACCAACAGATCCTTAAAGTTCCGCGTGAGTAGTCCAAACAGCTCATAAAAATCCGTACAAGTAATGTCGAGAGTAAAAGTCTTATAGTAGTGGACTCTTCTAAAGAGAAGTACCATCAGGTGTTTCAAAAAGAGTAAGCATAGCCCGCTTCGCGTGTGACACTCGCCACTACTATATAGGTCGCCATCATAAGATACAACCAGATCAATTTATGCAAATCAGTCAAGATGCAAGACACAGATTGGTTAAGTTTGTCCTGAAGTTCACTAGAACCAATGAATGCCAATATGATCAAAATACAGACCCACATGTTGCCTTACGCCATCCATCAATCAAGTTCCTCTGAGTTCTGACACTGAAGGAATAAAACTTGTTTTTACAGTTTATGAGGTTGAAGTTCGATTCCGTGGTGAAGATGGATCTGTTGCTATAACATTTCCCCCAAGTGCCCAATTTGATGAGGAACCTGCTCTCTGCAACAAACATACTGATCCAATTGATGTGAATGAACAATTTGGCGCAGGATTGGGATATTCATCTTATGATAACTACATATTGTTCTTAAATCAGGCTAACGTTGCACTCCCTAACTTTGAGTAAGTTTACAATTTGCATATGTCTGTGTCAATATGTGGCTAATGAGGG